GGCTTATTTCTGAAACTCCTGCATTCTCTGAAAGATTTGGATGTAACACCTACCTCATAGGGTTTCCATTAGAAAGGATGGAGGTAATGTATGTGATACATTACACAGTGCTTTGCAGATTTCCAGTAATATATTTAAAAAGTCTCCGACAGGGGTGAGAGATGGGCTTCCCTGAGAGGGGCTGCTGTGCGCACCTGGGGTTCGGGCACCTACTAAATTAAATTTTGCATATGAAAAGTTAAGGGCAGAGTGTCCATCCACCAAGAAGAAAAAATCCTAATTGTTTGATTGGATGACACAGTTACACAAAGAAAAATTCCACATTGACTGTCCAAAGATGAGGCCTTCCACAGTGTCTGCCCACCACCACCATTCTTGGATGGGGTCCTAATCCCACCTAGCTCCCCACCCCCCCGCCCCCAATTTGGGTTCCTCCTACACTTCTGACCCACTAGACTTTTATTCTGAAGCATCCCAGCAACAAGGCCAAAGTCAAGGAGCCCAGAGGAGGACAATGCCACAGAACCTTCTCTCTTTGGGCACCGGCCCCAGCAACACTTTGCGGGCGTGTGTGTGTGTGTGTGTGTGTGTGTGTGTGTGTGTGTGTGTGTTGGGTGGGGGGGGATGATGCCAGACTGTGTTGTTGACTAGGTCGATTGCAGCACAGCTACTGAGGTTGCTGAGGAAGGTTATTCACGGGAATATTGGAAATAGATACTAAAATTAAATAAATAAATATGAAAACACATTATAGATAAATGTGTAAAATAATCTCCCTTCTCTATAAAAAAAGGAGATTAATGAACACTGGAATGATGTCAGAAACTAATAAAAATATAACTTTATTAAATGAGGGAATAGATATGATGGAAGTAAGACTACTCGGCATACTTCTCATATTACTTTGACTTTTGAAGCCTGTAGGTGTTTGAACCACCTGGGTGCCTCAGTTGGTTAAGTGTCTGACTCTTGGTTTTCGGCTCAGGTGATGATCTCAGGGTGGTGAGATTGAGTCCCACACCGGGATCATGCTCCGCTGGGAGTCTGCTTGAGTTTTTCTTTCTCTCCCTCTGCTCATCCCCCCTTTCTCTCTCTCCCTGAAATAAATAAATAAATAAAATCTTTTAAAAAATGTAGGTGCTTTTCATATTTTTAAGGTTAGCTCAAAAGAGAAAAGCAAAATCTAAAATTGAAAAAAAATACTAACGCAAATAAGTGTAAAGCTCTATTAATCAGAGTTAAGAATTATTTCAAGTCATTTTTGAAGAGAGTAATTACACTCACAGTCAAACATCCTGGGACAAAATAAATGCAAAGACATTTTAACCTTCATTCAGCAGTTTAACTGCTAATAGTAATGTTTGCATTATACTCTTAATATTATTTCTAAAAATTCTGAAATATAAGAAATATAAGAATAGATAAATAAGGAGAAAAGACAGAAAGTGTATTTAAAAGTTTCTTAGCCCTGTATTATTTATAACTCTGAATTGTAAGATCCAAAAGGAGCTAATGAATTTTAAATTTCATTTCTCTTTCAGATTTCTGACAAGCAAAAAGACATTTAATGACATTCCCATCTAGTACCAATAACACAGTTCTTGTATTCTAAACACTATTTCCCAATAAAAAGAATCAGACCTCTTTGGAAAGCTGTACGATTATGGGTGTTGGTCAGGGAAGTATACAGCAAGCCTGGAACATTGTGTTGTGCTAAAAAGAAATGAAACACTCAAAGACTAGTGGGTATAACAAAGCAATCAGGAGCCAGTTTCAAGAGGCACTCACTAGCCAAATTTGGGATAATTTGAGCTTCAAAGAATAATAACTATAATTGTTTGTGACAAATTGAATAAATAAAAATTCATGAATCCATGCTGATTGAACATTAAAAAAAAAAAAAAGAAAAAATCTTTAAAGCCATCACAGGTCACTATCATCAAGTCCTTATTCCAAAAATTGGAAATTAAAGAGCAAAAATAAAGATTTACCAAATCTTTTTAGGTAAAAGTTTAAGGAGTTGGCAAATTAACACTCACCTTTACATAAGACAATTAATAAGTGCAGAAAAAGAATAGAATTTGTCTTAAAAATCACTATTTTGTAGCCAACAATGAAAACGATTAGTTATAGGCTATACTGATTACAGGTTAAGTGTCCTAAATAGATTCCACAAGCATTAGGTGAAAGGTTTTGGAGAAATAGTATATATACCAATATTAACAGCAAAGATAACTTGCCAATTGTAACAATGTCCTTTAAACATGGGGAACCTGGCTGTCACTTGTGATTCAGATTTAGATAAACTGGCTCCATTATAGACAGCCAGGTTATTCATTCTAAGAATGCCACTTGATTTGATGCAAAATGAAGTAACAAGATATCACCTTAAAATATATTTACCTTAATTATATCTTTATTTTCATCTTAAAGTTTTCATGTTTTTGTAGAAGTTAAAAATGTTTACAGTCAACTGATTTTAACTAATTATGTTTGAAATGTATGAACATAAAAATCATATTTCAGTCTCTTGTGGTTGAATGTTTCCAAAACCAAATCATGAAGATGTCATTAGCTTTGAAGATCATTACCAAAGAGGTCCTCATAATTCTCAACATATATTGCCTTACTTTTAATATATCTTTATTTTATTTTATTTTTAAAAAGATTTATTTACATATTTAAGTAATCTCGCCACCCAACGTGGGGCTCGTACTCACGACCCTGAGATCGTGAGCACACTCCACTGGATGAGCCTGCCAGGCACCCCATTAAAATAACCACCTTTATTGTGGTTCAAAGCTGATACATATTAAAGACAGAAAACATGGAAAATACAGGTGAGCCTTAAGGACTTAACCACCAACTCTTACCCCTAGCATCTCTAAATTCAACTGTAGTTATTATAAATATTTTATTGTACTTCCTGACAATCTTTGTTCTATACACATTT